ATGTTTAGATTTAGGTTGTGATGTCAGGTGACCAAAATTCAACGTCTAGCAGGCGTCTAGGGACAACATTGTTTTGACATCTAATAATGCTTTCAAATGACATTGATAATTGGTTGATTTTAGGTTTTGTTTTTAAGTTATCAAAATCCAACGTCAAGCCAACATCTTAAACCAACATCATATTGGTATATAATACTGACATTTATTCATCAGGTATGGCAACCGAAACCCAATGTCTGATAGACGTCATAGCGGTAACGTCCACACAAAGTCAAGATGTATCATCATTAGATGTTGATATTTGATTGATTAGGTTGAACTTTGGACATCGTCGCTGACCTAACGTTGGGTTCTGATGTCAACCAGATTAGCATTACAAAACAAAATGCGATGTCCACATGACATTGGGGTACAACGTCAATCTGACGTCATGTTGGTATCCTGTGCCTGCTGGGTAATCACAGTGTGGTGTCACTTTATTTGATAGAATTCATATTGTATTTCTCTCTTTCTTGTTTATTTATGATTTAAATTGTAAGCTAGATCTTTTCTCCAACAACTTTCAATGCTTGTAACATTTTAATGTCAAGTTTAAAGCGATATATTCTCTGAAGTTGTGCTGTGGACGTGGCATCATTTAGTTCACTGCTTACAGGAGGGGAAATAAAAACTACCCGTCTTATACGCACTCTGAATTTGAAGCTCATTAAGCTCTTCGACGCAACACGGGTGGGAGGTGGATGTTCATTAGGATGTGATTAATTGTGGTGTCAGCGATTTGGCACAAACGCAAAAAAAAAAAAAGACGGCTGCGTTTAGATTGCAAAGGTGTAGACAGATCGCAAAGGCAGACTAACGCATGGCAGCGACACCACATGCGAAAAAACGACCTCTTCCCGACTTTGACTTTGCCGCCGTTCTGCCATCAACGTTTCAGACGGCACAATTACCCATTCATTTATTCAGGCAGCAAGCGCACAAAGAGCATTTTCACATGCACAGCTAAATCGAATTTAAAGTGTCAAGGCACTCGCCGCCTTTTGCCGCCGTTTACTTTAAAGTGTAGTAGCTAATGATATGTGTGTGTGAGAAACAGGGTGATAGGTGGAGACTGTGTGCATATTCTCCTGCTGTGCTGTGAACCTGCTCGCTAAAAACAGGAAGATGGTGAGTCCTCACTGCTGACACAACACCACACAGGGCTTTATTTCAGTCGGCACAGGCCGCTTCCCCCCACGCCACCTCCAGACACACCTATACGCCTTTCTGCCACCTGGAATGCCCTATAATGAGATCTTTTATTATAATTATTATTTATTATTATTATTATCTAAGCAATGCGGCACAGTGGCTCAGTGGTTAGCGCTGTCACATCACAGCAAGTACGTCTCTGGTTCGAATCCCGGCTGGGCCTGTTGGCATTTCTGTGTGGAGTTCTTCCCATGCTGGCGTGGGTTTCCTCCGGGTGCTCTGGTTTCCCCAACAGTACAAAGACATGCGCTTTAGGTGAATTGGGTAAACAAAAATGACTGGTAGTGAATGAATGTGTGTGTGCATGCGAGAGTGTTTCTCAGTACTGGGTTGTGGCTGGAAGGACATCCGCTGTGTAAAACACAGGCTGGAATTTTTGGAAGTTTATTCTGCTGTGGTGATCCCTAATAAATAAAGGACTAAGCCGAAGGAAAATTAAGGAATTAATGAATATCCAAGCAATTTAACATTAAAATAAAATTAAAAAATTAAAAAAAATGTAGACAATAATTTTTTTTGTTACTATTACAAAAGCAATATAACATTACAATAAAATTAACAAGAAATAAATCAATTAAATAAAATGCAAACACATTAATGTGTCCCACACAAACCTAGGATGTTCTGCGGACCAAAGAAATAGGGAGATCTTTTCTAACATTAAAATATGATATATTTAAAATGATAAAGCAAATTAATAATTAAAAAATGAAAATAGTATGTATTGTTTTGTGGTGGGCCATTATCAGCGTTAATTTTAGTCATTATTTGGGTAGCACACTTATTTTGAATGCCTTCGACAGAATTCAAATGAGCCATTTTAATCTAGATTAATATATATTAGTTTCAAGATAACAGTGTGCTGTCGCCTCACAGCAAGAGGGTCGCTGGTTCGAACCTCGGCTCAGTTGGTGTTTCTGTGTGGAGTTTGCATGTTCTCCCTGCCTTCGAGTGGGTTTCCTCTGGGTGCTCAGGTTTCCCCCACATTCCAAAGACATGCGGTACAGGTGAAGTGGGTAGGTTAAATTGTCCATAGTGTGTGTGTGTGTGTGTGTGGATGTTTTCCAGAGATGGGTTGCGGCTGGAAGGGCATCCGCTGCATAAAAACTTGCTGGATAAGTTGGCGGTTCATTCCGCTGTGGCGACCCCGGATTAATAAAGGGACTAAGCCGACAAGAAAATAAATGAATGAATGAATCTATGCCCACCTATATATTTTTTTTATTTAATGTTGAGTATTCAGTATGCACCCAATAAGCCTAGCAGATATTCCAAGTCATAAATATTAGGTTAGATTTAGGCGGCTAGCACCTAAAGACAATGTTATTTTGATGTCCAATAACGATTTAGTTGATTTTAGATGTGTTGGAAAGTGACCAAAATCCAAAGTCAATGTTAAACCAACGTCATATTGACATCAAAAACTGACATTTATTTGTCAGGTATGGCAACCACAATCCAACGTCTGATAGACGCCATAGTGGTAACATCCATACAACATCAAGCTGTAACATCATTAGATGTTGATTTTGTTGTTTTAAGGGTGGGTTGAAAAGTAACCAAAATGCAATGTCTGTCCAATGTTGGACATTGACGTCGACTAGACGTTGGGTTTCATTTCCAAACAAATACAGTTTAGCTCCAACACACCTGCCTGGAAGTTTTTGTATACATATAAAGAGCTTGATAAGCTGCTTCAGGGGTGTTTAATTGGGGTTGGAACTGAAATATGCAGGACCCTTCAGGACAAATTTTGGTCACCCCTGGGTTAACCGCAATCAGTTTCCTAAAACTATTTGAGCAGCTATACAGTTTGGACTAATAACATTCTATTACTTGAACACAAACAGATTTGAAATGAAAGCAAGTCATTTTCCCATATCTAGCCCCCAAGCTTAGGCCTTTATCACTACAGTGATTCAATTCTTTCAAAATAAAGGGAATCGATACTCACTCTTGACTTTTCAACATTTACTAATTATCAACTGTTTTATACTTTAAAGAATATATAAACATATTTTAGATTTGTTTTATTGTACATACTCCATTCTATTAAAAAGATTAGTTAAGATGGTTGTATGCAAATTGTCTGATATTAAATGAGGTAATATGCAAGTTTTAATGCAAGTTTGCATTAGAAAGTCCAAATCTTTTGCATCAGATCATTTAACTAATCTCTGTATCTTGCAAATATATCAGCAGAGAGTCAGAGACACACATTCACTGCTGACCCAGCCTAACCTCAATAAAATAAAATAAATATAAGATAATATAAAATAACAATGTTACATTTTTATTCATTCATTCATTCATTTTCTTGTCGGCTTAGTCCCTTTTTTTAAATCCGGGGTCACCACAGTGGAATGAACCGCCAACTTATGCAGCAAGTTTCCACACAGCGAATGCCCTTCCAGCCGCAACCCATCTCTGGGAAACATCCACACACACATTCACTCTCACATTCATACACTACGGACAATTTAGGCTACCCAAATCACCTGTACCGCATGTCTTTGGACTGTGGGGGAAACCTGAGCACTCGGAGGAAACCCACGCGAAGGCAGGGAGAACATGCAAACTCCACACAAAAACGCCAACTGAGCCGAGGTTCGAACCAGCGACCAATGTTACATTTTTTGCTACTTTATTCAATTGAAAGCTCTATGTTACAAAGCAGTATGCCTGAAAATTAAAGTAATGTCTAAAAATATAAAACTAAGTCTTGGACACTACTACAGATGCCTCATTGAGTTTGACAGGTTGTGACATTCATCAAATCAGTGGAAAAGCCTTCATTTTATTTCCATCTCTGCACACGTCCTAATTACTCTGCCTCCGCTAATTCATTTACGCCACTTTGCATTTTATAAAATCAGGTTTTTTTTTCTGAAGGAAAAAAAAAAATACCTGAAACTAAATCTGAGCTTTAGAATAATGCATTAAAAACACATACCTAAGCCAGGACAATAAGCACTGATGTCGAAGGCGACAGGTCAAATTTTTACTGAATTTTAGTTTATTTAAATATGTTTAGTGTTTGAAATTCATAATCTGAAAACATTTGGTTTGGGAGTTGCCAAAATTAAATGGATTAAAATAAAAGTAAAAAAATAAAAATAAAAATAGTCATGCAATTTTTTTGGGGAACTACTTAATTGTTTTATGTTAAATTTGTGAAAAAAAAATTGTTTAACTTAATTTCTTCATGTTGTCCCCACACAAATTGAATGTGTGGGACCCATTTTTACAGTGTGGTCTTTGACTTTCTCTCAAAAAAAGACTTTTGCTGCTTGTTCAAACCACTTAAAATAAGCTGAAACAACACAATTCTAACATTTTTTTATGTTCGATGCACTTAAATATATAAAACAAGTGTAAGTTAATTTAAATGATTCGTGTTGGGACAACATTATGGAATTATGTAGAACCTATTTCTTTATATTGTTCAATCCACTTAAATCTGTAAAAGCAGTTGTAAGTTAACTTAATCAATTTGTGTTGGGACAACATGAAGAAATTGTGTGGAACCCAGCATTTCTTACAGTGTTCCTTAAATAATTTCCGCACCTGAAGTGTATAGTTTCGCGATCCGAAATGAAAATAGTTAATTAGAGTTGAATAAAACATGCTTTGACTATCAGTAGCACAGAGCAGGGGATCAAGTGCTCGGTTAAAGGATCTTCAGATCAATGTTATTGCGCTGCACTCAGGTTACTGGAACACAACCGACAGGAAATGATGATCATTAATAAGAAAACGACTGTTTTACTCTGTGCAAAACACTGATGTACTGAGCAGGAAGCACATTCAGCACATGATAGGCCTGCTGTAGTCTCGATAACACTTGATGGGTTATTTATTATTAGTTGCATTTTGTTATTTTCAGTTCACATCGTTTTCCCCTGCTGCTGTCAGAACACGAATTCGGCCCACTTTTTGGTTTGTGGCCCACCAGTTGAGAGTCATTGATTTAGTATGACAGCGTTCACATTTTATATAGAACCGAACACCAGAATCTCTTGTTCGTTTTCCATGGCCGGACCACTTGATCCTAAAACAGCAAAAGAAAAAGTGCAATAAATAGTGAACATATCCTTAAGAAAAGAGAAAAAATACATCAGTAAATCATTTTAATGGGATTCACCAACCATACACTTCTTCTTCTTCTGCAGATCTTTGTGTTCAGCTGCGCGCTCTGGGCTTTGGGTGCGCTCTAAATGTGGAAAACGCTGCAAAGAAGCGCAGGGAATAAAAACTACAGAAATGAGGTCATGTTCCTGGATTAGACGCGCACAATGCAAAGGAGGAGAAACTACTAAATGAAACGGCATTCATAAAACATTGAATGTTTTTGCATTTCTGATGAATTGTCCTCTGAGACGCAATTCAAATGTGAATTTTAAGAAATTAGGACAAAGTGCCTCATTATCCTCGACAAGAAGAGTGAGAATTGCTCATCTCCTTAGTGGAAAGACAAATGCGAAACTGGCCCAAAAATGCTATTTAGAATCAAGCTGCTGGAAGAATTTACAGTTGTTTATGAATTTATAAATTATTTATGTTTCGACACAAAGTCAAGCACCTGAAATTGATTTTATTGCAGCAACCCAAATACGCCAGGCTGATTTAATCAAATTTAACTATATTTAAACTACAGTGTAGTCTTTGTTAGTCGATGGTTACACTCTCAGAAATAAAGGTACAAGAGCTGTCACTGGGGCACTACCTTTTCAAAAGGAACTTATTTGTACCTAAAGAGTCCTTAGTCGTACATCAAAGGTACATATTGGTACCAAAATGTACCTTAAATGTACCTTTGAGGTAGTAGTGCACCAGTGACAGATTTTGTACCTTTATTTCTGAGAGTGTATATATTAACTTTATTCAAAATATTGCTAACAATTTAGTTCACTTAACAACAATATTCTACTGACTGGTTACATATTTCCAACATTTTTTAAATAACAGTAACTCTTTAGTTTACATAACAACTAGACAAATAGACTTTTTAAGACTTAAAATTTTGTTTTTGAGATTAATATTATTATATTTTAAGACCTTTTAAGGCCCCTTGAACACCCTGATCTCATGAATTAGTAGTTACATGGGTCACACTTTATAATGAGATTCATTAGTTAATGTTAAGTAATGCATTTACTAACATGAACAAACACTGAACAATACATTTACTACAGTATTTATTCATGTTAATAAACGTTAGTTAATGAAAATATAGTTATTTATTGTTAGTTCATGTTAACTCATGGTGCATTAACTAACGTTAACAAGTTTTCATGGACTTGAATGTTAATAATGCATTAGTAAATGTTCAAATATGATTAATAAATGCCGTACATGTGTTGTTCATGATTAGTTCATGTTAGTAAATACATAACTTAACTCACACTATTAACTACTAGCTTATTATCTGCCTGTCATTAAAATTTATATATATTTTTTGTAATTATAAAGGATGATCTCGTTCTACATCTCTAATCCTACCCAAAACCCTTAACTAAACCCAACTACTACCTTCATAACTATTAATAAGCAGCTAGTTAACAGTTTCTTGAGCTTATAGTCATAGTTAGACGATGGTTACACATTTACAACATTCTTCAAAATATTGGTAATGCTTTAGTTTACGTAACAACTCACACAATTATCTACTGGTTTATTACCTGACTGTTATTAAAATATTATACTTATAAGGTATGATCTTTTCCAACTGTACATCCGAAATCTTACCCGAAGCCCACACCTAAACCCAATTACTACCTTAATAACTATTAATGAGCAGCTAATAATAGTATATTGAGCTTAAAGTATAGTCTTAGCTGATGGTTAGATATTTACTACATTCTTCAAAGTATCGTAATGATTTTGTTTGAATAACATAATACTATTATCTACTGGCTTATTATCTATCTATTATTAAGATATTAACTGTTTATTAGTAAATATTCAGGATGTTTTCATTTTACATCTTAAATCCTTACCAAAACCCATAACTAAACCCAGCCACTACCTTGATAACTATTAATAAGCAGATAATTAATTGTTTTGTTGAGCTTATAGTCTTATTTAGTCGATGCTTACATATTCACAACATTCTTCAAAATATTGGTAATGCTTTAGTTTACGTAACAACTCACACTATTAAATACTTGCGTATTACCTGCATATTATTAAGCTCTTAACTGTTTAGAGTAATTATAAAAGATGATCTCATTCTACATCCCGAGTCCTACCCAAAACTCACACTTAATCCAAATCCTACCTTAATAACTATTAATAAGCAGCTAATTAAGAGTTTATTAAGCTTATAGACTTAGCTAGTCAATAGTTACACATTTTAAACATTGTTTAAAATTACAGTAACTCTTTAGTTTATATTAAAACACACAGTTATCTACTGGCTTATAACCTGCCTATTATAAAGTTATTAACAGTTTATTAGTATTTATAAAGGATGATCTTATTCTACACCCATAATCCTACTCAAAACCCATGCCTAAACCCAACTACTACCTTAATAGTATTAATTAGCAGCTAATTCATAGTTTATTAAGCTTATAGTCTTGTTAAAGGCATCAATTGTACATTAAATATAGTGTAACTATAATATCTTACATTGTTTTCAACCAAACAAAAAAATTCAAGGGTGAGTATATGATGACAGACTTTTCATTGTAGATGAACTGTCCCTTTAAATACACTTAAATGACATTGGTTAATGTATACCACAGTCTTAAACGCACAGCCCGAAAATACGTACGTTTTTGTTCTGTTGTTTCTCAGGAGTTGAACTTATGCGCGCAACACCACAGCAGAGACTCTTGGGAAGGTACATATGGGAGCGCTTGACAAGGGGGTAACTTGATAAATTGTTTTTCTCTTCTCACGCTGCAGTTGTTTCATCACCTCACGACGCTTTGCTTTGCATATACCACGAAAAACAGCTATTGTAATTAAAAGGTGGCACGGTTCACCTCTCGATGCTGTGCTAGTAAATTGTTAGCAGGGGGGGTTGGAGAGGGTCTTCGTGCCCTCCACCTCCTCAGGTCTTTGCCTCGGAGACATCTGCGTATGACAGCCTGAATCAAGCACCCCTGCCTCTGAGCACGCGTCACCAACCAAAGTGAAAGGTTTATCGCCTTGGAAACACATCTGTAAGCATCCAGTCTGGTGTGTTAAACATCCAGAAATGGTGTATGGAATCGTAAGTAAATAGGTTGCTTTTTCTGCTTTAATTATGGGACCAGTTGGCTCGCTTAATTGTGTTTAGTTCATTTGCTTGAGAAGAGAGATCTCCAGGGTTTCTGTAGTTAAATTGAGGACTTTTAAAGATATTTTTAAGATCATTCCGATTGAAATTTGACACCTATACAGGGCTAAATGATAAGGATTTTTTCTAATGGCTCAACTGGAAAATATTTTTACTTCTGAAATTGTATAATTTAGGTATTTCTTTTCAATGTATTTTAAATAACATGTCAAAACAAGCAAAACTTTATACATGCAAAACTGTATACATGCACTTTTTCCCTTAAGATAACCCTTCTTTAAAATAAAAAGGAAAAATGATTTAAATAATTTAAGACCTACAACATAATATTTCAGTCAATTTAAGACTTTTTAAGACTTAAAATTTAGTTTTTGAGATTAATATTAATAATAATAAATTAATAATAAATGCCGTACATGTGTTGTTCATGATTAGTTCATGTTAGTAAATGCATTAACTAATGAACCTTATTGTAAAGTGTTACCGTTACATATGTGCCCGCGAAGCTGTTACAAAAAAAAGTTCTTGTGTTGTGAAAACATTTAGGAATGTTCTGTAATGAGGCTTTGACGGTGTTAGATGAAAGCAATCGCAGGTGGAGAGAATGAGTTTGAAACCCAAGCTCTGGACTTATCCTTGATGTGTGTTGGAATTAACAAAAGCACTAGAAAATGTGTCCTGGAGTAGATTTTTGAGAACCGAGAAATATGTGTTCGTGGGAACATATGGCTGCATTTTATCTATAAAACAAATGCTATGGGGCGGTACTGCTGACTATTTACCTTCATAGACAGGCTCATTCTGAAGATATAGCCCTATATACATTTTTGAAGATCACGGATTATGTAGCCAGAAGTGTGTATGGCTGCATTTCGTCTTAATACAAAGATATGAGGTGGTTTGACGCCATTTCTTTTTAAGCTTACCAGCTGACCGCTTACCTCCATGTGAACGGCTTTCCCACTGTTACCAGTTTGTCCAGTTAGCTCGCCATGTATGTTGGTGGACTTGAAACGCAGACAGGAGTTGACCACAACTAACGGGTTCGTTTTCGGTGAGGAAACAGTTCCAGAAAGCAGGTAAGACAAAAACAGAAGCCAAAAAATAGAATTAATAAGTAAATAAAAGGGTGAGAATGTGGTCAAATCTGAAAACATGGTCATAACCAGGGGTTTTCTTTCTGGATTGCCTTTTGAAACTGTTGGTTGGGTTTAGAGAAGGAGGAGGGCGGGTCAGTCAGTCAGTCAGCCAGTCAGTCGACAGCGGCCTCTGGTGGATTTACACAAAAACAGCAGGCACAACTGGCACTCACCAAAGAAATTAGAGATTTCAAAAAGCATACGCATTGGCTCTGGTGGATTTCCGTAAACAAAAACTGCAAAAAAAACGTACCTCCTGGGACATATTTGGCACTCTCCAAAAATGCATATAGCGGTATGTTTTCAGTCTCGTGAAGGGTGATCCTGGAAACCAGGTTAAACAAAACCCAAGTGTGAGGCTGCGGTAGAAGCAAATGCCTGCGATGGGTTTTATAGGTTGGGTTTAGGGAAGGGGGTAAGTAGACAAGTCAATATCAAGCTGGTATATTACCTGCTGAGCAGCTCCTCTTATGGACACGGACAAGAAGAATGTTAATATTCACAAAAATGTACACAAATGTACACAAAAATGTATTGCACTTATGAGAAAACTTACCTCAATAACGTATTTGAGATTGTCAAAAATGTACACGCCACTCTCTAGGGCAGTGTTTCTCAACCGCATTCCTGGAAGACCCCCAACACCGCAAGTTTTGGATGTCTCCTTTGTCTGTCTCACCCATTACAGGCCATTCAATTTCTGCTGGAGCTGAAGCTCTGCTCTGCTCAAGTGGCTCTGCAGTGAGCACAACTTGAATAATTCAGACTTGTATTATTTCAGAGAAATGTAAAATTATTACTATAGTAATGTAAAAAAAAAACTAAAAGTTAACTGTCATGCAGGAAATTTCTGGGAATGTAAATTTACGGTTATTCACTGTATGTATTAAGGAAACTCAATGTTAAAATAGTGACCATTTGTTTACAGTAGATCTATGTCGACCTTTGCCAAAGCTGGCATGTCCCCTGGCACACACACCGGTGGCACAAGACCAAAGAGCCGCACACAAACTCAGTTCTTCAGAGAAGACCGCTAGACCAGTTTGTCCCCTGTATTTTATTATGTTTTGATTAAATCTGATGAAACATAATATTTTAATTGAATGTTTAGAGCCAAACCCCTCTGAGCAATAAATTCCCTGCATCTAGCGATCGCGTTTCTCCAGTAATTGCATTTACATAAATGATGTTTGATGGAATTATCATGCAGGTTATATGAGCGCAGGATAGACACAGGGAATGCTGGAGAGACAGATGAGACAGGCTGAATGAATACACAAATCAGCTCGGCCCGGTAAAACTAAAGGCAAAGCATTAACTGTGCCAAAGAATGTCTCCATATTCTGTTTTTACACTTTAAATTTTGCACACTTAGCTAAAGTTAAGTGATGGAATAGGGATTGTATCAAACAGTATCAACATTTTAATAGTCATTTATTTTGCAAGCACTTGGATTGCGATTGCACTAATTGGCTGCAACATTTAACTGCAGTATACTTAAAAATAATTGTATGATGTCATATGATGTCATGTATGTATATACATATAGACATGTAGTTGTAATATAATCACTTGTACCTAATAATTATAGAAGGAGATATTTTGTTTTAATTTATTTATATTATTTTATTTATTTTTTGCATAAGTATAATGTGGAGGATCTTTTTTATATATTTGCAAACATTCTGTAATTGTACATACCCCCATAATTGTACATAATTTTATATATATATATAAAATTAAACCTATTTTTTAAAATATTTTCCATTATTTCCATGGCATTTCATCATAAGAATATCAAACCATAATGTGTCCATTTGACACATATTTAATATTTTTTTTAAATTTTTGCAACGTAGATGGCTACAAAGGAAATCTAAAAACAAAATATTTTCCACATGGTGATCTAATTAAATTCATAAATGTTGGTTTTATGTTGGGACAACATGAATGAATGAAGTTAACTTATTAGTTTTTTTTTTTTTCAAACGTAAGCGGGTTAAACATAAAACAACGAAGTTGCCCAAACAAAATCTCAAGAATTGTGTCGTTTCAGATTTTAAAAAAGTAGTTTGAACAAGAACTAAATATTTTCGTGAGTGAGCTGATGACTATTTGTCGTTTTAGTTTTATTTTCTGTACAAAACAACTGTAAATGCATTTAACATTCGACTTTGAGCCGCTCCATCTCTATGACTGATAGATCTGGGAAACCCTCAATAGGCGCACACTTACCCTGCTCTAAAAATAGACCTTATTAAGGGCAAAGTGATTAAATCAGCAAGAGGTTTATGTTGCTGGATTTTTCTGGCCAGGGTCAGCGCCCCAGTTATTTTAAGGACGACGCAATTAGAGCTGCGTTCATTTACAAAGGAAATTTTTCTCCAGTTTAAACACCAGAGTCGTCCATCAACATGGAGTGTATAATTACAATGTATAAGCACTCCGTTTCTGCAGTCATCTGAATACAATAAGTGCCATGGAGGGGCTGCTATTAATGTGCCACTCAAACTCTGACGCCGGTGCAGACTTAATGCGAGTTGCCCCGTCAGACCTGTAAGTAATGGGATGGGTTAAAGCGATCTACTGTAACATGAAGACCACTTGTGGCATATATATACACGCACGACTTCAAAGATTTCAAGTGGATGTCAGCTATTGATGGGGGCTGGATCAGACGACAATATGTGCTTGAAGAACAATAGAGATGCTGCCGGACCTCAAAGACTGCTCTTTATTTTCAAAGGGAAGCAGGTTCAGCATAGCTTGTCCAACCTTACCATTCAAAGTGGAAAGAATGTGTAATGGTTAGGTTTTATGTTTGGTCCTCAGACATTTGTAATGGTTTTAATCTTGACTTGATATTCTTTTTTCTGTGGGAGTCAAGGCATCTATAGCGCTTTTGCAATGTAGATTGTGTCAAAGCTTGGAGAATAAAAAATAAAAAGCCATAGCACCCTTTCAGGGGGGAAAAAATCCAGCATATCAGGTTTGCAGGAAGGTTGCTTGCGTAATTCTAGTTAAATTAAAACCTATTCTTATATCACTCAGTACGTTTACATGGACAGCAATACTCGATTAAGACAATACTCTTAATTAAGAGTTTATGATGTTAACAGCAATTTTTGATGTTCTTAATCTGACTAAAGTCCTAATCAAGCTAAACAGAAATCGAATTAAGATGTGGAGTATTCTTATTCTTGTCACATTATTAAGTCCAGTACAGACATGTAAACACTGTAAACTATTGTCGAATGAATGGTAATGCAATGACGTTTTATCGAACTATGTACTATAACGTAAAAATTGAACATGAAAGGAACATTCAAAAAGCAACTCATGTAAACACCTTAATTATATTATTGTCTTATTCAGATAAAGGCAAATCATTTGATTACTGATGTCCATATAAATGTAGTCATTGTTGAAGACTGATTCAGTCTAATTCAGTTCAGATTAATACAAATGTCACTGTTGAAGGAGGATTAACCGAAGGGCAGCTTCAACCAAGCAAGCCAGAGGTGACAGTGGAAAGTAACCAAAACTCCACCAACTGAAGGATCCAGGCTTGGTCTGTGTGACCAGATCTCCACTAGCCGAAAATAAAGGCATATCTGCAGTCTAGTGGCCTGTTTCCATTCGGTAAGGTATGGTTCTGTTTGGTACTCTTTTATGGCTGTTTCCACTGTCAAAAGGGACCTAAAAGCGAATTGTACCGTACCCCTTTTTGGGTACCCTTTGTAAAGGGTACTTAGCACAACAAAAGGGTACCAAAAGGTGGAGCACAAGATGATACGTCACTCGCTCGTGCAACAAACTAGGAGAATGAAAACAAAGGAACCGTCATTTTTAAAAACACAGCCAGGACATTACACTGTAATAATATATACATATAATAACAAGCCATGGTCGACCCGAGCTCAAACAAACCTTGACGCCGTCTTGATAAACAGCTACAAAGCCAAGAAGAAGAGCAGAATCTACTTTGTGCCCCTTAGTTTTTTACAAGGCTGTCTAAAGTTGTCCTCATTTGTAAGTCGCTTTGGATAAAAGCGTCTGCTAAATGACTAAATGTAAAGCATGAGCGGATTCGCTTTCTCGCGATTGCTTGGCACGCATCTATATTTGAATTAACAAACTTCTTGAGCTAATGCTAATAATGTGTGCGTGACTATTAAAGTGCTTCTGACATCCGATCCTTTCAGAAACGGACAAATATGAGATTGACGCATGAAAAAACAAAGAAGAATCTGGAAAAAACAAAGGAGCAAATGATTGTTTCAGCAACCTAAAACATCAACAAACTATTATTGCCACCTTTTGGACTACTATGAACTTGGGAATGACGGAATTACTTTCTAGCTAGATGTGTGGTATACATGTGCTGGTGAAGGATAAAGATACAGATGAGAGGTTTGCACTGATTGACTGACTGAATAACTAACTGACTGACCATTGGTACCCTTTTAGCAGTGGAAACGCAAGCCTGATAAAGGTGACCCATACTGACCTTTACCATACCAGGTGTAAGATGCTTGAGAACTGTGAGTGAATTCCATTGTGAAGCAGGTTAGGGTTAGGCATAAGTAGGTTACAGTCTGGGGATTCAGACTAGCCGAAGGAACATTGCTGATCCTTGCAGGAGCACAGTCTTGTGCTCTTTGTTCAGGCCGGATCCAAAATTGTGGGAATCTCAGTTTAAGGAGAAACAGACAGACTTACATGAGCATAGATGCCATTCAAATCATAGTTTTTTTGGGGTAGTGTTCACAACTCTGATTACATTGATCAATGCTGCCTAAAAATCCTTGAGAAGATTTCGATTTCACTGGATTTCACAAATATTTGTTTCATGTGTATGCTATTGCAAAAAGAAAGAAAAAAAAATGTCCATGTTAATGTTAGGAGCAAAACAACATTGGATCCTATTAGCCTCCACTGTATAGGAAAAAAAATCTGACATAAAGACATGAAGAATGATAATTTATTAATTTGACAATGTCTATCCTCTAGTGGCTGACACAAAAATAAGCAAAAATGGCAATAATGATTATTTCCAAACAGGTTTCTCAAGGAAATCTTCTTATTATTCGACTGTTCCTTTCAGAAATTTGTGCCATTAACATGTCCCCTTGAAACAAATCTAAAATTGCTTCCAGCAAATTCTGTATTTGTGTTGCTTAGAGGTAAGAAAATAGACGTTTTACACTGTCAAAACCCAAGGTTGTATTTTATTCCTGAAGATGTTTGGAGACGAGTAGTCTGCTTAAGGCCTCAGCGCTCAGCGATCCTATTAAGAAGTGCCTTGTAAGAGCTTTCCTCCCCTCCTTTCAGGAAATGGCTGCTGTAATGTCTTTCCCTCACTGTTTTGGAATGCCGCTCAGCTCCCATGCTGGGAAAATAAGTGAGAAAGAGAAAAATGATTAAATCATTTTTTCAGGGGGGCCCTCTTAGAACAACATTGGTCACATTGTCAAAGGCCAATTCAGTGCTAGTGTTACAGAGGCTGACTTACTTCCAGGGAGTTTTTGAGCCCTGCGCCGCATGTGAAGGCAGCGAAAAAATACACTATGGGTTGAGTGCTTCTTACGGAGATTGAGGACTACGAGTGGCAATGCAGGTTACGCTGAAAGGATAATTTGCAGCACACGACACTGCTGGAGATGGTCAACTTTTTCTCCCAGACTCCCTCGGAGCGCGGGATCTCTTCTTCAACCCAAGGAACTGCCCATTCCAGCCTCCATGGCTGAAAAATAATATCATAATTAGCAATCTGAGGGAAGGCTGATGTGCTATCTAAGTCCCATCTTAGCTTTTGTCGTGATTAAGGGCATAGTACGATGCCTGGGGGCAGTCTCCTCTTGTCTGAATGAGACGGATTGTATTACCGGTCCCGCACCAGACAGACTAGGGCAGGTAGCCCATCAACAAACTGCTTTATGATGGCGAGACAGCGAGCACGCTAGCATTGTCACTGCTGGCAGCTCACGCTCTTGGTTTTGAGTGTCACGTCAAAGGCTTTTTCTTCCCTCGTCTTTGAAATGCCGAACAGGAGGCTGCGCTGCTTTGGCCAAAGAAGGAAAACAAACAAAAAAACTTCAGCCTTGATTACCTGCCTCATCTGATCCAATTACCAGAAAGCTTTTACAATAATTCCAGTGTTATTTGAGGGATGGCGGAAGGCTCTTCCATTTAATGCTTCATTCAGATTAACCGGCGAAAAACATCAGACTGTGAACGTCCCGACATGCACAATGCACCGCAAAGTAATAGCAGGTAGACTACGAAATGGAGAATTGCTAGACACTGGCTTTATCCCAAAACCAAAGAAAAAAAAGTGAACTGTTTTCTGTGGATATAGGCAGCTACACTCTCTAAAATGTGGGTGCCTTATTGAAACTGGTGATTCAGTGGAAAACCTTTGAAAACACTACTACTACTACTACTACTACTACTGCTGCTACTATATATCAGGGAAAATAAGTTTTAAAAATGTCACCATTTTTCTTAGAAATTATATTTCTAAAGGTGCTGTTGACTTGAGTTTCACCCGGATGTTGGTAACAACCATAGAAATCCATATATGCAAAGAAAACCCAAATCTAATTAGCTTAGACATTAAGTTCTGCTTAATAAAATGAAATGACGCAGAGGAAAAAGTATTGAACACATGGAGAAAGGGAGCCTGAACTCAAACTCAGTCATGTCAACCCACTGCACACAAGGCTATCGGCACTGACGCCATATTGTTACTTTCACATGACCTATTAGTGTCAGTAGCATTGCTTTTCTTCCATTCATCAGTCCTCTCCTGTTGCCTCATGGGATCATGTTTTTCCTTCGAATAAGCAATTCTGAAGTTCAGCAGAAAGAGTAGGTCATCAGTGTACTTTTCTTCTGCTTTTTTATGTGTTAGGGTTGCGTGATATCTCATTTCAGCATCGATATCGCTATGTGCAGATCCACAATAGTCACATCGCAGGATTACAGTTCAGCAGAAATCTCAGTTCAGTGCACATGTTTTTTGGAGCTACTGCAACGTTTAATCATAATAGAGTGAAAATGACTTGGTCAAACTACTTATTTTAAAACAACACAAGTTGAAAAAACACAACTCTAAAGATTTTCTTTTTCGGGGGGAAGGGGGAGGGATGCAACTGAATTGAATAGACAATATTGAATTGTTCAATATTGGACTTACTTTTGCTCGCTGGAGGTAGGTTGACACCATGGCTGAAGTATTTCTTTCAGACAGGTAATGTTATGTTTTAAAGGGCACATAGTTTACCCCTTTTTTAAGATTTAATATTAATATTTTGGTTCTTCTGAGTGTGCCAGTTTAGGTTCAGTTCAAAACACAGTTCAGATTTTGTTTATTATAATGTTTTAAAAAGTGTACACAGGTCGTTGTTTTAGGGCTGTGTTGCTTCCAACGCAATCTCATGGCAATTCGTAACTTTTTGATTTAGTGGCTAATTCATATGTATTCATATTAACTAATTTGTACAATTTAGTATGATTTGCTCATCACCCAATGACGGTTAGGGTTAGGGGTGGGGTTGAGTGCCACGCCTTCTTTTTAAAATCGTACATTTTCGTACGACTGAACTTATACGAATTCGTACTAATTAGCCACTAAACGGACAAAACGTAAAATACTTACATTTCCTCGTGACATCAGGCTGGTTGCTTCACTTGGAAATTAGTTTCGACTTCCCGCCCAACGTAACAAGGGAGCGGAGCCAAGAGCTCCCCCGCTCTGTGTTTGGCAACAGACAGGGAGAAGCAACATGAGTGAGAGGACCAGCATTCAGCCGTACATGTACGACTCGGACACAGACCAGGCAGAGAGTACAAAATCTTTGTCTTTGTATAGTTTTACAGCCAACTGTGTGTTAGTTTAAAGTTTAGAGCTTGTACACTGAAACTAATAACCACGCACACTGAATTAACTTTGACTGAGGCACACCAGGCACGCACATTCGGATGCTATTTAAAATAAAACTATTCAGATGGCACTCTGTGGCGTAGCAGAAATATGAAGTGTCCCGAATCCTGGCTGAGCGCCGTGTATAGCCGCCGTCTTGAAGCGCTGTTGTGTGTACCCTAATAGAAACTTATGTTTAGAATTCTAAAATGCATGGCGCTGCGTGGTGCGATGCTGAGAGTTGCCGGTCGCACACTTCTGGTGTGCGACCTGCAGGCAAGTTCGTTATTTTATTCCTAATGGAGCGACACTCACATGAGGCAACGCTCTGGAAACTTTCCTGCTGCACCTAGTTAAGATCACAGGGAGCTTCAGTGACCGCAAGAAATGCAAACGGCTGAAGTTTAAGGTAGACGCAATGAAAAGTACACATGTTTGCAAACCTACCTGCAAACAAACTAAGTTACAAACAATAATTCCGTTTAGAACCTTAATGTGGTGAATGTTGATGTTGTGTTGAGCCCAGTGAGCCTTACATCTAAAAATAAAGCAAGGGTTTTCCTTTAGTGACACTGGTTTGACTCACACGCTGAAAATGGCGGACGTGAAACAACAAACTGAGGGTATGATGATGCACGCCTGTCAATCAGTATTGGTGGGCGGGGGGACCGTACTCCTATGTCAAGTTGCGGTCGATCTAAAAAACGCCCCAATTGGTCCAACGTTTTTATGTTGTTAAATTGAAAAAAAAGTAGCTGTGCATTTATACTTCTGCGCGCTGTCTCTGTTGGTCTGCATTAACACTTCCGAAGCGCTAGTTGGCAGTGAGGTGTAAATGTTTCTCTGTGTCGAGTTTCTGCACTACTGTTTTGCTTTTCCTGAACACTTCTTGGATGTACAAGTGGCTCAAACTTGCTCATTTTGAGGCAGGAACCGGCGGACGTCCAAGAACTTTAACTATGAGGTAAACACAAAACAAAAATTTCCATCCGGAGCTCCTTCATGGGACTCTACACTTGTAAACAATCACTCCATTGGGCTAGCGTGGCTCTCGGTCCTGCCCAGATTCGTCAGCGCAACCAAGCTGACCAATCACAGAGCTTGCGCTACACGTTGTTTTATGAGAAGTGGACGTCAGTGACGGCCACGGCGTAGGGCTATGCGTCAACGCCGGCGTTTGACGCAGAAGTATAAATCAGCCTTTTCTCTGCATATTCGCTCTGAAATAGCATGTAAGTACGGCTTAGTAATCAGTGTAATTCCTGCATGCTACCTGCCAAGCAGGGGCAGGACTGTGTTTCAGAGATTTAACCTAGCCGGTTAGCATTGTCGCAGATCACTTACTACACCTTTAATATCAACAGCAACACTTTCGCACAATACCCAGCTGATCCAGTCGTTGTCTTTCGACATAGAAGCACAGTTGCTTTTTTTTTTTTCAGCAAAAAAGGCAGTTGCACCTCACATTTTGTAACGTAAATGCGCATTCAGTGTAATCAGCCCCTTACCCAGAATATAAAAATACATATAAACACATTTAGATCATTTACTGTAATTATTACTATTGGAATGTGAAGAGACTCTTGGAAAGGGGCGACACAGTGGTGCAGTGGGTAGCACAATTACCCCACAGCAAGAAGGTCGATGGTTCGAGCCTCGGCTAAATGAATTTCTGTGTGTGGTTTGCATGTTCTTCCCATGTTGGCGTGAGTTTCCTCCGGGTGCTCCAGTTTCCCCCACAAGTCCAAAGACATGCGCTATAGGTGAATTGGGTAAGCTAAACTGTCCGCTGTGTATCAGTTTAAATGAGTGTATGGATGTTTCCCAGTGATGGATTGCACCTGGAAGGGCATCCGCTGCGTAAAACATATGCTGGATAAGTAGCCGGTTCAATCCGCTGTGGTGACCCCAGATTAATAAAGGGGCTAAGCCGAAAAGAAAATTAACAAATGAATGAACAATACAAATTTCACAAAATGGCTAATAATTTAGCCTTCAACCGCATATCACAGAAAAAAATGCACCGCGATATTAAATTTTTCCAATATCACGCAGCCCTATTATGTAAACTACACATTTGTACACTTTTATAAAGTAAGAGTGTGAATATTCATAGGCAAGACTTAATTTGTCTCTCTTTTTTGCTCTTAAGCTGCTAAAAGTTGATCTTCAATAACGCTTGAGGTGAAGTGAGCCTGTGCCTGATTTAAGATGGATGCACATTTTGGCAAGCACAACTTCTGCTGTCAAAGCCTATTAAAAGCAGTTTACATGTGCATGTCCGATTTGATGAATATGTATGTGACCTCCTTCACTGGCGGCTGCCCACTCGGCGGCACAGGGGCCCGGGGGGGCTCCAGGCAGACTCTCATTGAGGCTCAGCGTGCATAAAAGACGACGCTTTAACACCGCCAAGAAGAGACTCCCCTGTGCCTGGCTTGACCTTTAACTCTGTGGATTTAACTGGGGGATAATGGAAAGAGAAAGGGTTCGCCTTAAGACAGACAAGAGGTGGAGGCACTGATTTAAAATTCAGGTTCTGACACGCCTTAATGAAATAATCCCACCGAGCTTGTCTGTGTTCGTCTGGGGCGCAGCTTTCTTGTAAAGGAACGCGGCAGATAATAATCTCCTTTGATTTCAACAATTAAAAAAAGAGAGAGAGAGATCCGTTCTGGAAAACCCAGAGGAAGTTGTCGTTGCGCAAAGGTTGTTCTTTCATTGCTCTGGAGACTTAATTGAGCTCTGTTATTTTTCATTTAAGGCAAGACGCCGCAGGCAAAATTGACTTTTTTTCATGCACTGGTCAGTGGTGAGTTTTTTTTATTACTAATAAAACACATTTCAATTATTTTATTTTATTTGCAGTAGACAGTTGAAATCAGATTTTTTAGCCTTCCTAAATTATTGATGCCCACCTGTATATTTTTTCCCCAATTTCTGTTTAACAGATATTTTTTTCAACACATTTCTAAACAATAGTTTTAATAAATAATTTCTAGTAACTTATTTATTTTATATTTGCCAGGATGACAGTACATACACCCTAAAACTTGTTTGATTTACCTTCCAAGACCATCTTTTATTTTTTTTTTTGAATATTTTGAGCTTTTGCAATTACAGTTTAACGCATTACATTACCCCTACTCTACCAAAACCACGGCGTTGAAAGAAAAGAAAAAAAAAAAAAAAAAATATATATATATATATATATATATATATATATATATATATATATATACACACACACATACACATACATACACACATATATATACACATATATATACACACACATACATACACACATATACACATCATTCCCGAGTTCCTGAGTTGACAGTGAGAAAACAGAGTGTACCATATTTGTCCAGTCCATATGTTGTAATTTAACATGAGAGGCTTGGCAACATCCAAAAGAGGGAATATACAAAAGAGGTGCATCTTAATACAAAAAGAAAAGAAAAAAAAGATGAATAAAATGAGAGAAAAAAAATCAACAAATTAATTATATAAAAAAAAGAAAAACGTCATATACTCT